CCGCTTTGAATGTTATGGCGTTCACTCATGAACTAGACCTTAATGCAAATGGTGAGTCTCTGATGATTCAGCAATAAATTTCTTGTAATAAATCTAGAGAAGTACAATCATTTAACTAGGTAGAATAGATATAAATTAAACTTTCTAGTGGGCAATTGATGGAGTAATTGACTCAAAATGGTTAAAGTGCATGTAAAAAGTTTGAACTCTGAATCTTTCAGGTCAAGATCCAAGTCAGAAGCAAACACCAGATTTACTAGTGAATGGTAAAACAACTTCAAACGTCATTCCATCACAAGTACAGTCGACACCAAACCAGCTAACGGTCCCGTCTAATATCGATCCAAATATCAGCTTGACATTACCTACTAATAAAAACGACTTGGAAATGAAGACAAACACTATGGGCGTTCAGGGAGTGAATGTACTTGTACCATGTACTGCACCGTGTCTCCCGGCACAAGGCCTTAGCCCTCCTCTACAATCTATGCCAGTTACAAGTTAGTACCTAGCAAAATAGATTTAAAATCCTAAATGACCTTGAGTATTTATATTATTTGTCGTTATTTTTTATATGTTAAAGCTATCAAAGAGGAAGTATTCAGAGATTACTTATTAGAGCTAATTTTGTTGGCGGAGAAAACTGATCCGAGCGATCGTCAACTGAAGAGTTTGGCGGAGCATGCTGCGGATTTAGAACACATTCCTGTCGTAGACATCAATACCAATGTAAATATTGTGAATTTCCTTTTAACTGTTGCTTTTCGTTTTTCTTGTTTCACACGAGTCTTCTTAACTCAAAGGTTTTAAATTCATTCATAGATAGCAGCAAAATCAACACGGAAGATGGTGGCCGGTGCGGTGTCAGGGTTGTTCGGAGTAGCGGCAGACACGCCTGCGTGCGATGCCGGCTGGCGCAGGGAACGACAAGAGCAAAGCGATAGTGACCCTATTTCAGGTTTATTGTCCTTTATTTTTCAAACAAAACTTGGTAGCGATGTTGCAAACGTAGAATTTTCTAGAAACTAGTGGGACTGGATTCTAACACATAATTGCAGCTTATCTTTGCACATATAACTAAGATTGATGATTAAGAAAATCGCAGAGTACAAATGTTGTTTGCTAAATAGAGTCCGTTCTGTTGGGTCGTGCATCCCGCGCGAGACGAGCACGCTCGGCGTCGCGACGCGCTGCGCCGCCTCCACCGCACCTTTACGTACCGGCCAGGTATTTTTACATATAAAAACATAGAACGTGCGTACACCTGAAACTAAACTATCGCACAAGTGTGCTTTCATTCCCATAAGCTTATGTGAAGATGCGCACACTATTCGTTTTTTTAGTTATGCAACTAAAAAGTTGAAATGGCTGTGAAACTATCGACAATCGTACAACAGTTGTGCGATAGTTTTTTATAAGATTATTTCAGTTTAGCTAGATTGCTTTTTTTACCATGTTTGTAACCAGATCTATGTACTTGGTGGCATCTGAGAGCAGTGCTGTTGAAGATGAAGCACCATGGGAAGATCAGCTGAGTTCCGGAAATAATTCGTGAGTTTTATGAGTGCAACTTTATGTCACGAAGTACGTTCGTATATCAATTTATGGACTTGTATTAACAGGGCTATGGCTGGTGGTCGCGATGAATCTGCTCGTATGAGAGCCGCTCGTCCACTCTGCATACAACACGCCACGGGTCAAGCGCAAGTAGAACATTCCT